TGTTCCCCGCGACTTCGCTCGCGTGTTAGGATTTTTATGTTTTTGCGCGGAACCCTAATTATTTTTTAAAATAAAAGTAGCCTAAGTTACTCCTTATGAAATCAGCTACCTGCCAGTGAGTCCCGTCAAAATCGGTCCAGCCGTTTCGGAGATTAGCCGGAACAAACAGACAGACAGCCAAAAATTTTAAAAATTGTGTTTTTGTTATAAGTACCGTATATACTTTCATATGCAATTAGTAAAAATAATAGTTTGAAGTGGAATTTGATATGTAAAAGTGGTGTGATTTTATGTATTAACTGTCTACGCATGTGAACTATTAGTGGAAACGGTGAAACAAGTGCTCTGGTGGTGATGGATTCTCAAGATAAGCTGTTTGTTTGCATAGGCGCCAATAGGCGCCTTTAGATACCATCGCCAACTGTCAGCTGTCTGCTGGCTCAAGTTGTCGTCAAAATCTCCCAAGGGCTGCATAATGTGACGCATCAACATATTGTGAAGCAGTGAAATTCTATATACTCAAAATAAAAAAGACAAGGCTGTATGGCATAGTTCCTTTGCCTGCTCTTTCGAGCGAATAATAAAAACAACAACGACAACAACTGAGAGGTTAAAGTGAATATCAATAGAAAATTAATTTGCTGTAACAAATGCGACAAGAATTACATCACAGTATATTTTAATTAACTGGAAATCATAATGCAATGCGTACGTTTACTCAGAACTGTGCATCGTCACTCAATTCTCAAAATTTGTACAGCGAAATACGTCTCACAACATCCAATAAAATTTTTAGAAACTCAAGAGAGATTGCGGGAGAAGGATGGTATTTCCAAAGAATGGCAGTTAATTTATAAAGCACCTATGGAGAACATACTAAAATTTGTATCTGCTTATTTAACTTTTTCAACCACAACCGTTGCATGTGGATTATTATATTATTCAGCTTTTGTGTTCGATAAAGCAACAATGTATGAACCTGTTATAATTGGGCGTGATGTCGTTATAGCAAATAATGCAATGGAATGCTTAATTTATCTTGGTGGGTTTGTTATTTTTCATGTAGCTGTTAAAATTCTTCTGTCTAAATATGTTATACGACTATATCAAAATGGAGATCAATATTTAGCAGTTTTTAAAGGTCATACATACAATTCTATTAAAAAACATGAATTTCACTTAGATGAATTTAAAAAGTTGAACCCTACTTTAGTTGTGTCTTGGAGTGATGCAAGATTTGCTCTTGGAAAGAAACATGGCATTATTCTTGAGAACTACTTCAAGACACCTGAATATTTTAACTACTTATTATATAAGAAAAAAGCTAATGAAGGAGGGGAAAATTAAGAATAATATTTTATAAATTTGTTAAGTTTAGTAATTTGTTGTAAATTTAATAAATGATAGGATATTAGTTTCATCTGAAGTTTGTACTTAATCCATTTACAATGTCATCTACTTTTTATATAGACCATTGTTTTAACCCATAATTACTTATCTTACAAATACTTGATAAAATGAAATATTTTTTAAATGACTAATAACGGCTCCCAAATCAATCACGACGGCCAGTCTCATTGGAGGTAAGCCATTTTTGCAGTATAGGGTTCTAAAGCACAAATGTGTGCACAAGCAAAGACACACTATTCCCTCACTCTCATACTTTTATTGGATGGCCATCCAACAACCAGAGAGAGATCAGCCTGCAGACCAACATCTTTACATGCTTTCATAGGCACAGGTATGAAACAATGCTAAATTTTCAACTACCAACTACTACTGCGAATTTCTTGACAGGTAGAGCCCATTACCTGATTTTGGCCTTACTTAGGATTCCTATGTTCAAAATTAGATTATGTAATATATTTATTTTCAAAAATGCTTTTTTTTCACATAATACTCCAATATATTATAATAACATAACAAATAACTAAGGGCTGATTTTCTAATTGTCAGAAAAAATTTATGCATCAAATAAATTAAAACCTGATCCTGACCGAATATTAAAGTTAAACCAACTGCTTTGTTCATATTCATTTAAATTAACTTTTATCTGGTGATTAAAAAAATATATGCAGTAGTGCAATGTTATAAATTGCTATATTAATGGTAGTAGCACATGGGTCAGCGTGACAATGGTAGGATCACACTCTCACAGAATAGCAGTTCAATGCTGCAATGTTTCGTATAGCGAGTGTAGAGAACAGGATATCCTTTTTTACTGGAAATGAGGCATTCCATCTTAGTCTATGGTCTAATGCTTAAAGCCATTTTGGCATTTTTTATAGATTTTTTATTTTAGATTGATTGCATTAATGTTATACTACGAATACCTTGTGTTTCATTATTGCATATTTTTATGAATAGGTATCTATCACAGAATACTTTTACTCTCTCTACTGAGAGATATCTATAGCAAAATATAAATCTGTAATATGCTGCACACCTTGCACTCTGTTTGGATACACTTACACACACACGAGTACCGGAACAAACTTGTGTCTGAAGTCGAGTCTTTACTGGACAAAGTCTCGGATTGGGGGCGACTAAATCTAGTCCAGTTTAATCCTCAGAAGACACAAGTTTGCGCGTTTACCGCTAAAAAGAACCTCTTTGTCGTATCTCCTCAGTTTCAAGGCACTCCCCTTCTTGCCTCAGCCAGTATCGGTATCCTCGGAGTCGACATATCGAGTGACGTGCAGTTTCGTGGTCACTTGGAAGAGAAGGCCAAATTGGCCTCTAAAAAGCTTGGCGTGCTCAGCAGAGCGGGACAGTATTTCATGCCGGCACACCGCCTGCAACTTTACAAGGCGCAGGTTCGGCCTCACATGGAATACTGTTCCCATCTCTGGGCAGGGGCTCCCCAGTGCCAGCTCCTTCCACTTGACCGCATCCAGCGCAGAGCGGCTCGAATCGTCGACGACCGAGCCCTTTCCGATCGGCTCGATTCATTGGCACTGCGAAGAGATGTTGCATCTCTTTGCATTTTCTTTCGCATCTACCATGGGGAGTGCTCTGAGGAATTGTTCGGATTAATCCCAGCCGCCAAATTTCACGAACGCACATCGCGGCAGAACTCCCGATACCATCCACACCATCTGGATGATTGGCGGTCCACCACTGTGCGATTTAGAAGATGTTTTCTTCCTCGCACAACTTCCTTGTGGAATAGTTTACCACCAGGGATTTTTCCGGACCGATACGACTTAGGGACCTTCAAGAAAAGAGCCTACTCCTTTTTAAAAGGCCGGCAACGCATCTGCAATTCCCCTGGTGTTGCGGTTGTTCATGGGCGGCGGTAGTCACTTACCATCAGGTGAGCCGCATGCTCGTTTGCCCCCTCTCGTATAAAAAAAAAAAAAAAAAAAAAAACACTTTTATGGTGGAGGGTGACAATGTTATTTGTTCATATAATCAGTTGGTTAACTCTTTCGCTGTCCCGTGCACTACATATAGGTCATTGCTATTGTCTTACTATTGTGTTTGCAAACCAGACAGTGAAAGTGTTAAAATGCATTCTACTAATCAGCTACATGATATACTGAATTACTATAAACTTCACACTTTTTACAAAGCAACTCTTTATAGGTGTCATAATACCGTCAGTTAATCGAATATTTCTTTAAGGTTGTTTTTATATAGAGCTTAGAAATTACTTTTACCCGCCACATCCTTCAATCACGTGAATGTGAAGATGCACATAAAATGCAAATACTCAAAACCATACCATCATATTATTTGTCTCTGTTTGCTAAAACATGGCAAAAGTCAAACTGAAGATTTTAGGTCAGAAACCCCACAAAGAGGCATTTTTTATTCTTCCCTTTAAGCACTTGAGTAAAGCCATGAAGTGACAAATCTAGTGAATCTATTCAATCAAGGAAATATTTCTAGATTCACTATATTTGTTTGAAATAAAAAAAATATAAATAAGACATAAATATTAAAACAAACAAATAATTTATTTAACTCATTTACTGGATGTTTTTATCAATGCATAGGTATAATGTCGCAAGAACTTTTATTTCCATTGTTGCCTACCCGACAAGGACAGAATGGTTCTGTAGCACTTGTTTCCTCAGACTGTGTCTTAGTCTGAAGAGCACTATTCCACATTCCAATTACTATGTTAGTATTATATAAATACCATGGTTGTTGCCTATTTCAAAACAGAACAAGATTTATGTTTATTTTCAAACACACAGCAAAGTATAATGAGCAAACACCGCTACTTGACCCTAGCTGTCATTAAATGCATTTCATTATACTTAGCTTAAAGATAAGATTAATGTTTGCTTTACTGGTCACTGGTCATCAACATTAGTTCTTCTTTAGTGATATAACACCAGTTTCCTTATTTATCAATATTTTATTATTTGTATATTTCATTCATATTTTCAAAGTTTAGTCAACAGCATGAACCAATTAATATTTTGTATGAATGAAGAGTTTATCTAAATTAATTTTAGTGCAATTCAAAGAAATTTATAGAACATACCTTCTTATGTTTTCATTATTAAAATGCAAAAGAATTGTAAGAACACTCATTCACAAAAACACATATGCATTTATTTGCCATCAACAAATGTGCACATGCAGCACTACTTTTATAGGACTTAAGTTATAAAAAGAAAATTGAGCTTGTGATTGGAAGAAATCAACGTTGCCTTACAGTTGTTTCAATCCATTTTTCCTTTACGTTTGGAGGATATTTTTTTTTACAAATATGACAATTAGTTATTAAACATGCCTTAAGATAAACAGGGACAAAACTGATATGCACAGCATAATGCTTTTGCAAAAATTTTGTACTTTAAAGTATGAAATTTTCACTTATATAAATAAAAATAAAATTTATTAACTATGGTGTAAATCAATTTTCTATGCCAAAATAAAGTGAAAATGGCTTTTATAATTTTCATCATGATCAAGAAATAGTTAGATTTCCAATTTTTATGAAAAAATAGTGTAGAATCAATAACTACATGACTGAGTAACATCTAAAAGCCCCCACCAAAAGCTGTATTCCACTTATATCTTGAATCATTTTTAATTGTAGTTGAATCCATTTTACTTTTATCAGTTTCAAACTTTTCTAAGGCTTCAATTTGACTTGCTTGGGGTTCTAGAGTTTTTGTTACTACACATTGTCCATTTTCTTTTAAGACTGTATAGTTTATATCTGCTTCCGTTGGTTCCCCATAAGGAAAAGTGATTGGTGTCACTTTAATTAAATGTTTAATCTTCCACAATCTAGCATTTACTTCAGGTATATTTTTAACAATTGTTACACGATTCTGTAAATATAAAATTACAGTAACTTTTCTGAAAATGCATAAAGACTAAAAGGTCAATAATGATGTCAAGAAACTAATTACTTACTGCTTCATCAATTTTCAATTCTTTAAGAATAGTCTTGAGCCACCAAGGATTATTTTTTGTTGGACGTATTCTTTCGACTCTAAACAGTTTAGATGGCGTGTATTCAGGGTCCTTGTGATCAGGATGTCTGGAAATGCAAATGATGTAAGTAATCACCTGATTTATTTACATACTAAATAAAAAGGGCTATTAATGCTATTTATGAATAAAATAAATATATATTTTAATACAACTACCTAGGATAGTATACGATACCTCCAGGGTATCGCAATCCACCAGGTGCTTTGTAACCTTTTGAACGATAAAATAATGCTGATATAGGGCTAAACTTTTTCAGCAGAGTTTGGTTCATTTTGCTTTTTATTTAGGTTATCTTCGTAACATCAGTAGTCATTAAATTAATAGTATATATAATTATGTATAATGTACTCTGTCTGTGATTGATAGTCTATGTCTTTTAGGGATGCTCGATGATCATCGATGTTGCCATATGTCAAACATCGAAGCATTGATGTCAATAAACCCATAATCAATTATTGGGTACTCGCAAACACTGTGAACCCGCGAAATCAATATCAACTAAATCTTGCATCTCCTCTAAAATATTTAAAATTTTGAATAATTCGGAATACTTGAACGGATCGATAACCTAAAAATATAAAATTACGGTGTATCAAATATAACTAAACAAAATAGATAAACATCGATGTTGAGCTATCGATGTTTCTACAACATCGAGCATCCCTACTGTCTATGAGCATAGTGACCGACCGAAGATACGGTTTCGGCAAAACATCTGCCGAACCTTCGGCGGCGCCGAAACTCAGTGTTCGTGCATTATTGTGCGTCGTCCGGATGAGTTCGTGACTCGTATATTATTCATAATTATACAGAAACAGAAACTTTGTTATTCAATATAGATTATAAATAATACTTATTGAAAGTCACTCTTTTGTTTAATTACCACTTGTTCTAAAAAAACTTTCGAACCAGTGGTAATTGTTCTGTCCTTGGAAGGACCAGCAAGAAATCCAGCGGGACTTTTTTTTTTCAAAAATAACAGCTTACAACCAGAGGCGTAGCGTGGACTAATGAGCGTGGCCGAAGTTGCATCAGCGAGGCCCCTTTTCTTTCGTTCCAAAGATCTACTCAATAGATCTATCCTACCAAACATGCTTTGACGATGCACGACATACCTACTCATATCTATTAATTCCTAAAAAGTCTCGTATGCCGTCAATGTAACAGTCGCGGTCTTTGAAGGTAGTTAGAATGGCCTCGCAGTCGCACTTAAGAGGAACTTCTTGCGAGGCCCCAAGCAAACACACTTCAATTTATGACTTTCTTTTTCGAGCGTAAAAGTGATCAAATTAATTAGTCATCTGAGGTAAAGTCTGGGGGCATCGCATTTTAGCGTACCTCGCCAGGGGACCCTTTAAATGCGAGGTCGTGGGCGAGGGCTCATTTCGCCCACGTCTAGCTACGCCACTGCTTACAATCATGTATGTAACACAACAACACTAAAAAGATTACCAGTATTTGACCCACCTGGTGGTAAGTGGTGATGTAGCCCTAGATGGTAAACCACGCTGTCTTAGCGTGACAAAAGCCTATTCACTCTTGCCTTTTAGACGCCCAGATAGTATTCGGACGGAAAGGTAGACGTCGGCAAATTATTCCACTCCTTTGCTGTACGCATTACAAAAGACGAAGCAAATCTTCTGGTTCTAATGCGTAGAATATCGACAACAAAGGGGTGAAGACCCGCCAACCGCCTTGTTGTCCGATAGTGGAAAGGCGAGGGAGGAATTAAAGCGTGTAATTCCTGCGCACACTCACCGATATGCATCCCATAGAATACCGAGAGACTGGCTACTTTGCGCCTGTGCTCGAGGCTGAAAAGATTGGTTTCCAACCAAATCAAGGTCACCAATGAGCCTCTTAGCACGTCTCTCCATTGAATACAACGCTACCAGGTGGTATTTTGCAGCACGAGCCTATATGTGATAGCAGTACTCCATGCACGACCAGACTTGCGCTTCATATAAGTTAAGAAACTGCCCCGGCGTGCAGTACCGTCGCACCCTTGCAAGGACACCAAGTTTCCTTGCAGCTGCTTTGGCTCTGGACACAATGAACCGCCTATAGTTAAGGTTCGGAGAAAATTCAACTTCCTAACAACTGAAGGCGGTCAGTGTACTCCAAGGATACATTCCGGAAAATAGGAGTCAAGGCGAGCGGGCTCCTTTTAGCAGTAAAAAGACACGCTTATGTTTTGGAGGCGTTAAATCTCACGAGATTGGTATCACCCCATTCGGAGACTGCCTGTAGTGTGCGATTCATACTTTCAACCATAGCCTCTATTTCTGACTGGATTTGATCCCGACTGGCCCGGGCATTTGATTGGTATCTCTCCTCAACTGTGCTGTCGTCTGCATACCCATAGATACCGGGAATGAGCCGATCATTTATATGCAGCAGGAAGATAGTTGCGGAGAGAACGTATCTCTGAGGAACACCGGCGTTAGTCGCCACAGTATCGGATGAGCAGCCATCGACGACGACCCGGAGAGACCGTTCACTCAGAAAGTCCTTCACCCAGACAATTAGGCCAGGAGATAAGCCGTACGCTGGAAGCTTGCCCAATAGACTAGCGTGCCAAACCCTGTCAAAGGCCTTCGAAACATCGAGAGAAACAGCAAGTGCTTCAACACTTATTCTCGTGGGCTTCGCCACATATGTTAGTGGCATACGCTAGAAGGTCCCCAGTTCATCGGTTTCGGCGAAACCCTTACTGGCGATCACTGAGGAGATAATTTTGCTCCAGGTATGCCATGAGGTGGGCGTTCAATATACAATCCATAATCTGCAAGATTAGGTTAAGGTAATTGAAATTGACCGATAGTTGGCAGGGTCGGTACGGCTACTTTTTTTAGGCGTTAATGTTATAATAACCCTTTTTATACAAACTTAGTTTATTAAAGTTTTTGAACTTTGAGCAGGTTTTGTATATTTTCTGGGATTTTGTTGTGTGTATATTGTGTGTAAGTGTGATATATTAAGTTAATTCTCTCATTGAATAATGTTAACAATATTGTGAACACAATAAAATTGATTTACGTGGTAAAGTCAAGCTGCAGCTATATTTATAGTATAGTTGTAGCACGAATGGGTCGGCTCGACCGGGGAAGGAACATGCTCTCACAGAATACCAGCGTAAAATAGTAGCTTAATGCTGCTATGTTTCGTATGGTAAGTGTAGAGAACCGGAGAACTTTTAACTGGAAACGAGGCATTTCATCTTAGTCCTCAAGGCTGAGAACGCATCTGCATTTTGATTCGCAAACGAGGAGAGATGTAGATGTCTATGGGCCTCAGCAACCACTTACCAACAGGTGGCCTGTGTGCTCGTTTGTCACCCTATTTCTATAAAAAATAAAATATGTTCTCAATTAGCGAGTAACTTTTTATGGGTGTAAGTGACCACACGGAAGTTAGCGTAGTACATTCTTTTTTTTAACTAAACTGTATGCCAATTGATTGCTCCATAAATGCTCCAGTAGAATCTGAAATTGCTCCACCTCTATTGTTATTAGTTAATTTATAATTAATTTAAAAAAAATTTAAGTATCGAAAATTTAATGTTGCTATAAAACATAAAATATGTACTTTATAAAATTAAACTGTATGACAATTCATTGCTCCTTAAATGCTCCAGTAGAATCCGTAATTTTTCTGTCTATTGCTATTAGTTAATTTATAATTAGTTTTAAAAAAAATAATTGTCGGAAATATAATTTTGCTATAAAACATAAAATATGTACTTTATTAAATTAAACTGTATGTCAATTAATCGCTCCTTAAATGCTCCAGTAGAATCCGTAATTATTCTGTCTTTTGCTATTAGTTAATTTGTAATTAATTTTGAGATAGAGTGATCCTATTTGAGTAATAGCGCCATCATCAATAAAATGTAGTAACATTCTATAGTTAAAGTCATTTTATCAAACAAAAATTGATTGATTCTCAAGGTGGTTCGTAGAAAAGACTAGATGGCATAAACACAAAAATATTATTAACATGGTTGTCTAATCCATTCACAAGAATCCATAATTTCAAAACTCATCCATCAATACTTTTTTTTTTGGTTATATGCCATTAGGCATCTATTCTACGTACCACCTTGAGAGTCATTCAATTTTTGTTTGATAAAACGACTTTAACTAGGTACTATGTATGTTACTACATTCTATTGATGATGGCGCTATTACTCAAATAGGATCACTCTATCTCAAAATTAATTATAAATTAACTAATAACAAAAGACAGAAAAATTACAGATTCTACCGGAGCATTTAAGCAGCAATTAATTGATATACAGTTTAATTTTATAAAGTACATATTTTATGTTATATAGCAAAATTAAATTTCCGACAATTTAAAAAAAAAATAATTATAAATTAACTAATAGCAATAGAGGTGGAGTAATTTCGGATTCTGCTAGAGCATTTAAGGAGCAATTAATTGACATACAGTTTAATTTTAAAAAGTAGATAGATTATACCTAGTCAGGTCATAAGTATTGTCACACAGTAAAAACTTTTCTTTTAGAATGCTGGCCACAAAAAAGTTTATTGAATTCGAATTTCGAATTGTTCATGAAAATAAAACTATATACTTTTTAGAATTTTACTCATTTTTAAATATGGAGTGGACGCTTAACTCTAGTGTAGATGACAGGTCAAGAAGTGGTCGCCCTCGGTCTGTTAGGACTCCAGCAGTTATAAAAGCTGTGAAGGCGCGAATTCAAAGAAATCCCAAACGTAAGCAGAAACTGTTGGCCCTTCAGATGGGGTTAAGCAGAACCACGGTGAAAAGGGTGTTAAATGAAGACTTAGGGCTTCGGGCATATCGAAGAAAAACAGGACATCGTTTGAATGCTCGTCTAATGGACCTGAGACTGAAGAGATGCCGCGCTTTGTTGAAGCGATACACGGGAAAAAAATATCGGGAAATTCTTTTTTCGGATGAAAAAATTTTCACCGTAGAAGAGAGCTACAACAAACAAAATGATAAGGTGTACGCACAGAGTAGTGAAGAAGCGAGCAACAGTATTCCGCGTGTGAAACGAGGTCATTTTCCATTCTCGCTCATGGTATGGTTAGGAGTTTCTTATTGGGGCTTAACAGAGGTACATTTTTGTGAGAAAGGTGTAAAAACGAATGCAGTTGTGTATCAAAATACAGTCCTGACGAACCTTGTGGAACCTGTTTCTTATACCATGTTCAATAACAGGCACTGGGTATTCCAACAAGATTCGGCGCCAGCTCATAGAGCGAAGAGCACACAAGA